TAGAAAGCTTAAGCACACTTAGATGACTAAGCACTCTATTAGCTTAGGTAATGCCACGTTTAAATTCTAAAAATGAGATACAATTTCATGACTTAAATGATAAAATCCGTAAGACATTCTACATGCATTTGGAAAAATTCCCACGGCTTAAAGGCTTAATTACGTGATTAATTAATAATTAATCACCTCTTTTATGTTTAATCTTTAATTAAACATAATGCTTAATTACCAAAATTATTCCGGACGAAAACGGAACGTCGAAAATAATTTTCGGTAATCTCGACTGAAAAGACTGAAATAATTAATTCCGAAAATTAATATCGGAACTAAAAATATAATTTATACTGATAAACTGACGGGATATTACACCCTCGCGGCGTTTTGGTGAAGTCTCGCCGCGGCGCGACGCATGCCGCGGCGCAATGCCTGATAAGCAGACCCTCTGTCGACATTGTGGCACTAGCGCGGCGTGAAGGATGGGACACGCCGCGGCGCGGGGCTCGCCGCGCCGCGATGCTGGAAACAAGTTCTTCTGTCGAGGTTGTGGGGCTCTCGTGGCGCGAAGCACGGGACTTGTCGCGGCGCGGGCCTCGCCGCGGCACGGCGTCTAGAAGCTCAGTGCACGTTCGGGTTGATTCATGTCGAAAGCCGGGACGTAAGCTGCTCAATTACTCTTTCTCCAAATGTGCTATGAAAATTCAAAACCTACACACCACCAAAGACGAGAAAAACACGCAAAAACAAGCAAGACAACGAAAAATATCGAAAACGAGAAATTAAACGGCAGACATGAGAAACGAACGACTGGTGGACCAAAAGAACTAAAAAGATACTAAAAACAGGGGTAAAAACTAACAAATAAGCAAAGAAAAAGATAACAAAAATGGGACAAACAACTCCCCCACACTAAAACCTTTGTTCGTCCCGAACAAAAAGAAAAGAAAAGAAAACAAGCAAGCGAGCAAGTACAACGGTTCAAGCAAGACAAATCTCAAACCAATCAATCAAGTCAAGAAGAATTCAAATGATCACGAGAACACACCTCAACTATTAACTCGGTTATTTCGAATGACAAAGACTATCGAGTACGAAGATATATCATATGCCTCACTCCGTTTCTTTTGCAAATATAAGATAGGTGCACTCTAGTTGTTCGTCAATCAATTCAATCATAAGTTTGCCCATTGTCTAACTTTTACTCCAAAACAATTAAATTCATGAAACAATGAATCAAGAGGACTTCTAGGAATGTAATGTAGGCTTTTGGATCGGGTAGGACGCATATAAGTTAAGTGGCTCAAATAAAAACATATTCAACTCAATTCCATCACCAACCGTGATCATGAATACCCCCGGTTGCCAAACACCAACCGGTTCCTCCACACTAACTCCAAAGCTAACACACTCACCAAACAATTATTTCAATCACTTTTTTTTTATTTTTTTTAAATAACCTTTTGGACAATTTATCTAGGTTTAGCCTTCGGGTTTTCCGCCCGAGTCTTCTAGACCGGTCTCCCGTACTCATTGCTCGTTTCCACTAACATTAGTGGACAAGCACTTGGATTAAAATCCATTCGGCTTCCATTTTTTTTTTTCAAAACTCAACAATCACCAACTCCATTTTACAATTCATCAATCCTCAACATCATCATACGAGGTTATCAAGGAAAAATATCAACAAGGCTCAAAAGAGGTGACTAGTGAGAATTATTTACGAAGGAAAAGAAAATGGAAAGAAAATACAAGGAACGCCTCAATCATTTTCATGTTTCACAAATTCAATCAATTCATTTCAAAATAGACTCAAGGCAAATTCTAATGGAATAAATTTCAAACCAACATCTCACAAGAAACGAATATGGCTCAAGCCTCACAAGGTAGATAATGTCATCCAAAATAACCAAGCAAGTTAGTCAAGATATGCCACTCATTTTCATCATCACAACTTCTTAACTCAATCAATCAATCATGAACTAGCCTTACAATACACCAAAGTCCAAGCTAAAAAAGACACAACAAATAATCCTAAAAACTAGACCGGTCCACCAAGCAAGAGAAACGAAATAAAAGCAAACCTAAAAAGAAATGAAAGCTAGACAAGGTCAACCACGTAGCCACATAAACATGCAAATACTCCCCCATACTATTAGAAAATGCCCCATTGTCTATCGTTAGTAAGGGAAAGTTGTACCACATAATCAACTGACTCAAAGCAAAATAAACTGTACCAAAATAAAAGAGAAAGAGAAAAGAAAAACGTACAAAGCACAGTGAGAAGTCACTGTGCGTCCGATGGTGGCGGAGGAGGTAATGAAGGTTGACCAGCTCCAGAACCCCAACGAGTGTCCCACTTATGAAAATGGCCGTCTCATTCACTCCACTTGGCGAACTGCTTCTCTTCCCATTGGTCCCAGCATTTGTCATTTTGAGTAATGTAGGCCTCTACTCTCGCATTGTGCGCGTCCTGTCGGGCCTAATACTCAGCTTGTTGTTTCTGGTACTACACGAACCACGCAGGGGCTTGCTGATAATCCATCTGGGCAGGCTCTTCCTCGTCACCCGAGGCATGCTCGACCGGCTCCTCATGCTCGTCTTCCACTTGTTGAGAAGGGCCTCCCCGTGGCTTGCTTCGACAAAGCCGCTTCCTGTTCCAATCACTTCATCTCCTTCTTGTAATTGTCATAGCTTTTACGTTCAATATAGTGCGTGATTTGAGACCTCTTGTCTAGAAAACCCCCAGCTCTGAGTTCAACATAACTGATGGCCAAAGGACCGAGGCCTTCCTCAGTAGAGGCTGGAATTTTGAAGTGATCAACGATATCCACACGACATGCCCTAACGTAGGGAAGCTCAATGTATTTCGACGTGTGTTCACAAGAGCTTATTTGAGGAATGGGAGAAGGCACACCGGTTTCTTATTGTACATGGCCCACTGCACAAAAACCTCTTGTTCGCTTACTTTATTCGCCTCCTTCTTCCCAAAGATGTTGTAAGAAAGGAACTTATGTATAACCGCGATGGGAACCTCTTTGATTAGACCGACCGATGGTCCTTTCTTGTTGAAAGTTTTGCACGGTGATAAGTCGGCCCAATACTTGTTGGCATGGGACTTTTCGGGTTTCTGACGAGCACTCTTTACCTTCAAACCATAAATCTGGCTAAGAATCTTATCCGTAATCTTGACCTCTTGCCCATTCAAACGACAAGTGAGGTAATTGCCGTTGTCAAGCATCACAATCGTACTGAAACACTCGAGGGTGAGAGGCCGGAAGGAAGTGAGATTCTGAAGTTTTGCATATTTCTCTAAGTGTAGGGCTTTCAAGTACTTCCGGACTTCGTCTTCGATGTTAAGGGTCTTCAGCATGTTCCAGTCGAGAACTCGGGGATGCGGAATAGTTCGTGCGGCAAGGCTCTTGTATGCGGCTACTTTTGAGTCATTGAAAACCGAAAACGGAATACCATGGATTTGGGCCAGAGTACGAGTCTCATTTTCCGCGTTAGAGTCCGAGTTGTGTGAGCTAGAGTCCGAGCTAGAATCCGAGTTTTCCGAGGACTCAGACGGAGTAGCCATGACGGCCTTGCCTTTGTCCTTGGAAGACGCTTGTTGTCCATTCCTTGTTCTCGCCATAGTTGATTTTTGAAAATGTTGGAGACAAAGGGACGAATATGGATCGAATAGCCTTTTTACGCGGTTGGGGCGATTGATCGAACACTTGGTGGGCAAGAATTGCCTTGAGTTTTATTTGAAGAGCTTGAACTCAATATTATCCCCACCAATCAATCAATCAACCAACGGATAAGTTAGATAGCCTTGCACTTCGAAATTGAAAATTCCGGAGATGATGAAGAGTGTTCGAAGTTCTCGAGTATTTTGCACTGTGAAGGGTTTCCGGACAGAGCGTAGTCGCAGGAGATGGATTCACCGTTGTAGATGATTCGTCGGAGGTGATGGTGGCCGGTGAACGTAGTGGTCGGAGGTCGGAGCTGGTTAGCGAGCTGTGATGGTCGAACGAGGATGATGGGTGGCGAGGGATTTTAAAGTCGCGAGAGAGAAAGAGTTGCGAGTGAATGAAATAATTGTTGGTATCAATGAAGATCTCGTTATGCACAAATCACGAATTCAATACACGTAAACCTATGCGCAACGGATCTAAAGGTTTGCGTAGAGAACTTACGGCTTAAAATTTATGGCGATTTGGCTGATCTTCTGGATGGCCGTACACAGCACACCAATGAATTATTGACTGAAAATCGCGTCCTAGGATTGCACGAACAAGATCGGATCAAAAACCAGATTAAACGAGTGCAAAACGGATGAAGACAAGTTGCAGTCCTGGGACCTTGCAGCGGCACGTGCGGGCGCGTGGGTGGTCAGACGGATGCGATATCAGTGGCGTTGGAAAGCTCTCGTCGAGACAGTCGTCTCAGTATGCTGCACGTCTTGATCGGACCTCCGGTTAGTTCTGTACGACCAAATATATTTCGTCTCACTTTACCCAAAGGTCTTCTACTGTATATCTCAAACACCTCTTAATCTTGTACCAGTGGAACAAAAAGAAGAAGATAAAGCTCGAATAGGAACTGAGAGAGAGAGATGAGATGCGTGGGGCGTGATTTTCAAGATGTGGAATTCTTTTCTCTTCCCATGAGCTTAATGATGTATATATAGAGCTACAGTAGGGATCCTTAGGATATTAGGATTAGGGCTCCTTAATTAATTAAAATACTTGTGGACCAAGCTACTTATTTTAAATAATTAAATAATATTAAATGGGCCACCAACATAATATTATTGCACTCCCTTTTCCTAGCCCAATTTACAATTGAGACTCCAATAATAATTACTCGATTTATCTCCCCATGTTTAAGATATAATGTCCATTAATTAATTCGATTACTGACAATCAAGAATTAATTAATTTATTATTATTTCACCGAAATTAGCACTCGTTCATCACATTTTTACTATGCTGGAATTTAATCCACCTGCAGGGTTTAACATAATAATCCTTCATGAACTCACTCCGGGGACATCATCAAACTAACGCACATGGTGACCGTAAATATCCTACCAGCACATCCTACATGTAGCAATATTACCTAAGACAGTTGGTTTATTGGCCCATTTCACTAAGCCTCATTCATGTGAATCAAAGTAATAAACACTACACATATATGTCTGTTTAATATCTTACGGGTTAAGAGTACGCAGTAATTAACCGAGGCCTAGTTCGTTTACGGCGATCAATATGAAACGAACTGCTCCTCTCTGGATCCTGTTCAATACATAAATGTACTAGTGCAACTAATCAGTCAAGACAAACTGTACAGTTGACACTACAACCGTTCGCGATAGGATGTTCATGTCCATCTCGGTTGTGAACCACTTATTCTTGTTTCGCAAGTAACTGATAGCATGATCTTCGGTTCGCCCGATGACGACCCACACTATCTAATGCAAAACAACAGAACGTAGAACTTGTTT